CCTTCTTTCTCTACAAACTTTCACGGGACTGGCTCCCCGGTAGGTAGGCTTAGGGAATGGGACCCGAAAAGCCAACCGCAGAGGGGAGAGAAGGGACCGGCGGGAAGGCCAATGTCGGCGAGAGCGGCCGTCGAGCCAGCAGTGGAAGAAGAAGAAGAAGAAAAAGAAGGCGCGCCGCCGCCGCCGCGGGAGGGAAGGAGGCTGGCGCTGCAGCTGCCCCCTTAACGGGGTGGGGGAGGCCGCGAGGCAATGCCTCGCACGGCCTTGGCGGGGAGACAGCCCGGCCCTTCCCCTGCCGCAGAAGTGAAGCAAGAGGCGAGAGCCGCCGCCTGGCTGCGCGCAGGAGGAGACGCCGAACAGGTGGCCAGAGAGGCAGCGGCGGCGCCGCGAAGGAAGGAAGGCAGGCAGCGAAGGAGACAGCCAGCAGCCGGGCGGCGCCCCCCCGCCCAGCATGCGAAGGGCTGCCCCAGCCTGCCAGCCCCGCGGCGGGACTCTGGCGACGACTTGCTAGCCGCCCGCCCTCGGGCCGGGCTCCCGCTTGGCGCTGGTGGCCGGGCGGCGGGGGGTAGCCGCTTCCCAGAGGAGGCGCTGCGGGCCGGCGGGTGAGCCAGCGGAGCCGGCGGCGGCGGCGGGGGAGCGGGAGGCGGAGGATGAAAGTCACCGTGTGCTTCGGCCGGACCCGGGTGGTCGTGCCCTGCGGGGACGGGAACATGAAAGTTTCCAGCCTGGTCGAGCAAGCGGTGACCAGGTACCGGAAGGCCATCGCCAAGGTGAGCCGCCGGAGCCGGCAGGGGCCGCGGAGGAGGAGGAGGCGAGCGGCGGGGGCGGCAGAGGCGAAGCCGGCCGGGGGAGACGCGGGGGCACGGCGGCCGCTGGAAGAACCGGAGGAGGAGGAGGCGGGAGAGGGCGCCTGGGATCAATATGGCGCTTCCTGGAAAGGGGAGGGAGGTCGGAAGAGGGGGAAAGTAGAGGCTGAGCTGAGGGGAAGGGAGTCGCGAGGAAGCAGCCCCGGCCCGGCCGACGGGACCCCGAGGCTGGAGCAAAGGGCGGCGGCGGGGGGGGTGGGGGGTGCGCTTCGCTTCGCACTGGAAGTGGGGAGGCCAG